TGTGGATAATCATTTTATAGGAAAACATCACGAATGAATGATAGTTCTGCATTTATGGTGTCATCATTACGTATTTTCACCGCCATGTTTACCAAACACTGAATCAGATTTCTTTTTTCTTTTGAGTGACACAACTTCTGAAATGGAGAAACTATCCGCTTCAAGTAGTGTTTTCTATTGATCGATAAATTCTGTCCGTAGCTTATGCCATTTATTTATCAACCATGTTGCTAAAATGAGGTGCTCTTAGATTCAGTCTGGAATTTTGTTTTTATAACATTAAGCACATGACTACGCGTTTCTTGGAGAGGGAGCCTCAACGAAGAAGTTCCCCGGATCGAGCCCCATCATTTTTCTTGCTCTTAATCACTTCTTTGAGGTCTCCGCGCACCGTCTTCTTCCCTAGTAAAAAGGACCGAGTCAGCACAATCTGCGATTGTTTGATTTATCTAGGATGCCGTCAACGATCTATGTTGTTTCTATCTGGACCCTCTCCAGACAGGCTTGGTCCTCTTGCAGAACAGAGACCAAGCCTGAACACAATTGTCTGGGTGAAGTCTTACGATGACCTTGTAGATAGGTATAAATACTTCTTCTTTATTAAACGAAATGGCAGGCTTTAGCCGAAATAGTTATGTGCATCTCAACTTCACATTGGGTACTCCAACTGAAATCTGCAGCTACTATAACTCACAGATCCGTGGCTTGCTTCGTAGTCTCCCTAATCCCATTCATCTTTCATTCAACCCTGGGCTTCAGAAAGCATTCGACCATTTACTGCGTTCAGTGACAGATCCCCACGTATGAGACCCATTGAACACATGCACTGTATTTTAGGTCTGTTCTTCCACTAGATCCAACCCCCTTTAAATCTTAAGCGAAGACAAAGCATGGCAAATTTGTTAAACCTGTTGAGTTATTGATGAATAAAAAACAGTAATGGTCCAAGGACCGAACCCTGAGGCACTCCACTGGTCAACTGAATGATCTGAGAATTGGCTACCCCTACCCTCACTGCAAAAGTTCTGTCCATGAAGAATGTTTATCGATCGATGTATGTTCCTTTATAGTCCAAAGTTTTGATAATACCTGGGAGCAACTTATGGTTCAGAATTAGTAGTTTTGCTGAAACCGAGATAACGAACTTCAATTGTTTGACCTTTTTCTAGCTTTTCCGCGACTTCTTCTAGGTAGTAAAGGTTTTTGGTAAGGTAAAACTTATGCCTGGGAAATCCATGTTGTGCCTCACTTAGGAGAGTATAACATAGAAGTTGCTTACGCACGTGTTATCTAATCAAAGTTTCCAAGTCTTTACAGAGGAGGCTGGTTGGGCTTACTGGTCTGTAGTTTTGAAGTTTAGCGTTCTGCCTACCGTTGTGAAGTGTAACCACAGTAGCTATCTTTTAGTCACTTGGTAGAATTATCTTCACTAATCATGCTTGGAAGAGCAGGGTCACTGGTATAGCAACAATGCCAGATAATGGTTTATGGGCAGCTGGATGAATACCGTCTGATCCAGAGGCCTTGTTCATGCTTATAAATGCATATATATCACTGGTTAGGGGGAAGGCATGATTCTAACGTAAAAATGACAAAATGGAGTAATGAGTACAGATGTATGAAAGAAAACTGGAATAAATATGGAGCATTGAGAACAAATGAATGAACAACCTTTTGTAAATTTCACCGAACAAATTTTTAAGCCTCTTTATCCATTATGGGGAACGGGGTTTCGATAAACAAACCGTAAAAGATCGAGGCACTGACGTCTATTCTGAGCCACATTTCTTAGCGTCTCTAACCATCGGCAATTCTCATCTATTGGGCTCAAGCCTGGAAGGCGAGTTGCATCAGCCAAAGTCGACGATGAGGCTAGTCTCTCCATACCTCTATACCAGGTCATGGCTTGACCGCCTAGGCATTTCTTCCAGCCTTGCCAAGTACGTGCAAAGATAGCACGGAGAAGTAAACGATGGGCAGGCATACGCAAAACGTGACCGAGCTATCGGATTCAGTGTAGGACGATTAATTTTGTTGAAGAATGAGTATAGGTACCCAGAAAACGATGACGAATTTCTTCATTGGTCACACGATGTTCATACCCGACAAGAGCAATGCTTCGGAAGCATCGGTGGTCGAATGCAAAAAGTCAATTAGCATCCTCCACTCAGAGGGGTCTGATCCCGCATTCATAAAGCTGAATATTACGTACCGCGGCGGTGTACACCCTTCTTTTAAGGGACAGTCGGATCTTATGGCGGTGTCACAGGTGTCGCAGGTTGGAAAAAGCTGCTCCAGCTTTCGCTATTCGTGATGTGATCTCTTCTCTAACACCACCTCCAGCTGCGATTAAGCTCCAGAGGAAATTAAAGTTCTCAACTACTTCCTGCTGATCACCATAGAGATTGAGTGCAGGCACAGGCTCCTGCCAGTCTGGAACAAGCACTTTGCACTTTGAAGGTGCAAAGCACATGCCATATTTGGATACCTCTATCACCAAGCGATTTAAAGTTTGCCTGACAAAGAGTCCTTTAGAACATTCTCTATTGCAAAGTTGAAAAGTAATGGGGATATAGGGTACCCTTGTAGCACTCCACTGGAAACGACTAAGGATTACGAAAACGGACCATGAGCTCCAACCTGACCTGAGGTATGACGATGCCGCTCGTTGAGGATGGACTAATACTTCCTAAGTATTCTAGTCCTCAGGAAATAGTTCGGTAGTCCTAACGATGGAGTTAAAGGCTGCCCAAATGTCTGGAAACAACTATCGTTGGTCTGTGGTAAGCCTCACGGTATATATTATTATATTTCACACTTGTCTGAGGACAGACTGTGTGCCAAACAAATCATGGTACAATAATATTTTTCAAGCATCACGGTGCTCTAGCAATTGTCGGAGGGTGATCGGTGCATCCACTACCGGCGCGAAACTCAGCCTGATCCTCATGGACAATCTACGAGGAATAATGGACGCTAACCGTTTTGACGCTACTTGACTGACTTATACTCGTGAGTGGCGCAAAGATTGCACAGCCCTTTTTCAAATATGGGAATAAAAACCGATCCCCTCTACGAGGAGGGGACCTTCTAAGTGTCCCAAACTTTAGAGAACAGAACTTGCAGTTATCTAACAAGTTCTATGACATCATCTTTAAGTGAAGCTAGGGGAAGACCATCGGTCGTGTAGTTTTTGGTAGAAAGTAACTTTGACTGTATCTGGGCTACAATTAGTGGGTGCGCAAGCTGAGACGACAAACAAGTGGCGTCTTTTGAAGCGAAAGCTGCTTACTTTTCACGAACTTCTAAGTCTCATTGCGCATTGCCTACTGTCGACTGGGATCCAATTAATGAGCATTGGTTAAGCTCTCTCACTGAGAGCCACACTAACGTCAGCAAGACCAGAGGCAGGAGCCTCAGGGTCCCTAGAAAGGCGTAAGTGAAACTATGAAGTTGAGTTTGATGAGGACGTCGATCGGATTGTGGAGCTAGACTCTTGAATGCGAGTTTCTTAGACACAACACACATCGATGACTAGGGTCTCCGGGGTACTAGATAAACATACCTATTGTCCTATACGTATCAGAGTACACACGCTATATGTGGCCAGTTTGGACGGGCATCGAGGACGAAGAAGTGCCTCAGTCAGTAGAGTAGAATCCGATGAGACTTGGACACTATTCGAGGCCGGACGTGAGAGAGTAGGGACGGGATTTCCATCTGAGGCACAGCTGCGAGTAGGATTGTCTGAAGACCCCGATAGGATTGGAAATATTTGATGGCGGCGCATGTGAGGAGGACAAAAATTGGACAACAGGTAGATATGTACGGTGTGGAACGATTTTCTCTCAATGAGAAAAGCTGTGTGGATAACAAAGGTTTCATATTTTATTTTATGTGCTGATGACGCGCATTCAAAATTCCGGTGATCGTTTGTTCTTTGTAACCGCAGGATATTCTGTCAAAATATTATCAAAGTTTATTGTATGTACATCAAAAAGGGAGCAAAAGTTTGCTTTCAGTTTACTGGTTTTCCATTTCATTTCAAATACCTGTGCTCTGTGGTGAGTACAAAGACTCAATACCCTCAAACTTAAAAAGGCACCGTGTTTTTAGTAGCAAATATGTATTGAACATTAAATTTAGAAATTAGAATTTTCCACGAATACTGCATTTATATCCTGCCTGTTTCCATACCGATGTATTTGTTCTTAACAAATTTATAGTTTACAGAGCTAAGTGTCTTTATTTGAAAGCCTCTTACAACCGAGAAGATTGGTATATATATATATATATATATATATATATATATATATATGAATTCCCAATGTGATTCGATGAAGTGGGACAAGAACTGCTATACCGGTGGTGTGCTGCAGTACTGGAGTTGTTTAGATACCACTTATTCTTGTGTACAGGAAAGCCAAAAAGATATTTTGATTTTTTTCGGTCCCATTTGTGGTGCGAATCAATCGATATAAATGAGATTCTCACCCGGTACCTCATCGATGTGACGCAAACATGCCACTCACTTGATCACTGGATGGCTGATCAGACTTTTCCCTTCCTGATGGCATCCAATAAGGTCGAAACGGTTGTACAATGAAAGCCTCCACAGCTCCATTGTAGTATACATCATTGTTCCTGCTAATGTTGACTCAAGGACAATACAACGAGACCCAATAAGCGACAAGAAAGTTGGTGCTCGTATCATCTTTTATGTGCATAACCAGATGTGACGAACAACAGAAACAATGGCATTCTCTTAGCATTGCTTGCTTTGTGTCCAACTTTAGATCATTTGTACCATTGCAACTTAATTTTCTATTTTGCAGAACATATCTAATGTTCAGGTGTTGAGGTTGCACAAATTCACGGACCATTGCTGGTATTGATCGACACGCATCGGGTCGTTTGCTATCCGGTGACAGTAATTTTCATTGAAAAACTTTTTTTGACCTGTTCGGTGAACGCCCAGATAACAAGCCAATTCAACAACAATGATCTTGTCAAGAACAAAACCAGCCAATCAAAAAACTGCAGTCTCGAGCGCATCCGGGGCAAGTATGAAAAAAGAATTACCCAAATTGGAAGACTTTCTCGCCAAACGGGATTATACTGGAGCTCTGACCTTGTTAGAATTCCAGCGAAATTGTGGCAAAGCGGCCCTGGAGACCGATATGTGGATAGCCTATTCGGCATTTCATTTGGGCGATTACAAACGTGCGGCAGACGAGTATAAAAAGATCCTGACCAGTAAAGACGCGCCGCCGGAAGCGCACACCTATTTGGCCTGTTGTTATTTTTTCCTCGGTATGTATCAGGAAGCTATGCAGGCCGCAAAAGACGGACCACTTTGTCGTTTACAGAATCGTGTTCTGTTTCACGTGGCACACAAGTTCAGCGATGAGAGACAGCTAATCAATTATCACAATTCTCTGGACAACGTTTTGGAAGACCAACTATCACTTGCGTCGATACATTGTCTTCGAAGTCATCATCAAGAAGCAATTGATATCTACAAACGAATTTTACTGGATAATCGAGAATATTTGGCCCTGAACGTAAACATTGCCCTTTGTTACTATAAAATCGACTATTTTGATGTTTCGCAAGAAGTTTTGGGAATTTATCTGCAAAAATATCCGGATAGTGCAACGGCAATCAATTTGAAAGCGTGCATCAATTTCCGTTTGTACAATGGTAAGGCAGCGGAAGCCGAACTGAAAGCACTACAAGAAATGGCCACACCGTCATTCACATATGCACGCGATCTGATTAAGCACAATCTTGTGGTATTTCGAAACGGCGAAGGAGCGCTGCAGGTAATGCTTTCACGCCAAATCTTTATGTGTACTTGTGTGGTCTTTCACATAACTATGAGTTCATATTGTTTACGTCACATGGGGAAACAAACGATTAGAGCTGGGAAATAGAATGATATAAATAGGTAAGAAAAGAGAGCACGCCTATACGGTTACCAGACATGATGTCTTTCATCGCGTGCGACTTCGCCATATCTTTAGTGCAATATGTTGCTTTTAGAGCCTTCACCAGTAGGTTTTATTTTATATTCGGGTCGATGAAATACCAGAAGTTCATCTATATGAATCGATAAGAATCCTAACCCATGAAAGAAGAATACAAATCACACCCTCACCCTCCCGGCCCTGGCAGTAGCCACCGGCTTGATTGAGCGTCGAGGTGAACTGTGTACCCTAGACGTCTGATCCCATCCAAGGGGCGCATTATCCGATTAACTAGATATTAATCCCCAATGGGTTACGGTTTTCGCATAGCTATTCACTGGCTTTCTGGTTAATATTTAGTTAGCCAAAAGCACTGGTTTTGAATACGCCAAGGGAATTTATTTGCTTTGTTCTGGACAATCTGCTAATGTCCCACTAGCAAACTAAGCACTCATTCATTTTTATGCAGATTACTATGATGTTTGGCATTCTGGACTACTATAAGTGATGTGTGTACTTAGCTTAGGAAATGTAAATTTTTCTATGCATGTGACTTTTATCTCCCGTCATTTACTAATCAAATGTTACGATCTTTCCGTCCAGGTTCTGCCCCCACTGCTCGACGTGCTGCCAGAGGCCAGACTGAATCTAGTGATCTACCACTTGAAAAATGAAGAAATTCAGGAGGCGTACGAATTAACCAAAGATATCGATCCAAGTACTCCACAAGAGTACGTTCTCAAGGGGGTTGTGAATGCGACCCTCGGTCAGGAGCATGGATCACGAGAACACTTGAAGTTGGCACAACAGTATTTCCAACTGGTCGGTGGTTCAGCCAGTGAGTGTGATACTGTATCCGGTCGTCAATGCATGTCCTCCTGCTTTTTCCTCCTTCGTCAATTCGATGACGTATTGATCTACTTGAATTCAATTAAAAGTTACTTCTACAACGACGACACGTTCAACTTCAATTATGCCCAGGCAAAAGCAGCTATCGGGGCGTATAAAGACGCACAGGAGGTCTTTTTGCTCATCCAGTCGGAACGACTTCGATCGGATTACACATATCTAAGCTGGCTAGCACGTTGTTATATCATGAATAAACAAGGACGACTAGCATGGGAGTTGTATTTGAAAATGGAAACCTCGGCCGAGTCGTTCAGTCTGTTACAACTGATTGCCAACGACTGTTACAAAATGGCCCAATTCTACTATGCGGCTAAAGCGTTCGACGTTCTCGAACGACTGGACCCAAATCCGGAGTATTGGGAGGGGAAACGCGGTGCATGCGTTGGTGTGTTTCAACTGATTATCGACGGCCAAGAACCGAAAGAACGATTGAAAGAAGTGATCCAAATATTGCGCAACACAAACAATCCACAAACGGAATATTTTATTCGAATTATGAAAAAGTGGGCCAAAGAGAACCGAGTCCCGGTTTAATAAGATCGACTTGTGTGATATTTTCATGTCGTATTTAAAAGTTGATAAAAAGAGATTTACCTAAAACCCCGCTTCAGTTAGAACGCCAAGAGAGGAAGCATACGTATCATCATTATTCTAATATTTCACAGTGTAGAAATGTCAAGGGAACGAGATCAGACTTCTCCGGGGAAGTGACAGGAGTTTATCACCGGAAAAGTACTGAAAAATGATGCATTCAGTTTAATCGCTTATCTAGGGGACATTTGTTGCCGAACAGTAAGAATAACTTAATTTTGGTTGAATGCACTGAAATATGAACAAGCGACGGATAACAAAGGTAATGTAAATGCTGGTAGTGAGGGAAATTCACTATATGCGGTGTTTGGGCATTTGTTAGGGCAGGAAGACAGGGGGAATCGGTTTTGAATAGTGAAGTGACCATCAGTGATGACAACGGCCGACAATAATCAAGGATTATTTACACATAGCATCCGAAGGTTTTTGACCCACGTTAAACCAACGGGATGGTTGTTCGATAAACAACGGCAGTGCGATAAGATATCAGACGGACTATTCGGTTATCGTTTACCTCAGAAGTAGGTCTCGTTTGAGCCAGAATTGTGTATAACTCGGCATATAAAAACCGTGAGAAGATATTTCAGTTTCCCTCTGTACAACCACTAAGGTTATTTGCGCTGTTTTTAATTGATATCTTTGTTTTACCCATTTGGCCTGACAATCAAAGGAGTCAAACTGAACATCAGCAGCAGCATCGTACAGCGAAATACTGTGAAGCGAACTTCAGTGGTCGCTGCAAAACTTACAAGGCATACAAAGTTAACGAGGATACGCAAGTCGAACAGAGACTGAGTATTTTTTCCGGGAAGGGGAAATAAACTAAATCTCCATGGTCACCACACAGAGAACAAAATCGAACTGTGCATACATACCTTTTTGGGGATGCAAATAAGACACGAAAAAAAGAACACCGTCGCTGTCATATCCTTTAATGTCTCCAAACAACCTCAACCTAGAAGGCAAGATACACTTACTCAGTACCAAATAACTCTGTTTATTTCTCCATGCCTCGTCCCCACCTCATCCGTTGACTTCCATGTAGTCTCCTCTAGTCTGGAGCGGTCACTGCAAATAAGGCGCAGTGTGGTAGGCGACCGATAGACACAAGCGAAAGGAGTTCTATGCTGAATGCGATGCGATCCATTCCCAAACACAGGACGACTTACAATTTCGATTACCAACCCGCTCATTCCATCCCAACTGGGCAGAACCGAACGAACGGTAGCACAAAATACACGACCTTTTAATCACAGTGAAAAGTCGCGTCTACACCAAAGGTATTTCAACCCTGCGTACCCTGATCGAACCTTGGGAATACGCGCTACGTTACCATCATTGATCGCGCGAGGACTTAAGTAGGAAAGGTAATCCACCATAATTAATTCCTAGGCATCTAGTTTCAAAGCGGGACAAGGTGACACCCAGTCTTGCAGCATCACTTTGCACTTTGAAGGTGAGAATGGCATACCGAATAGAATTACAGAAGTTGTTGGGCAAGCAAGTGCGTCTTGCGCGTCGTCCATACATTGCAACAGAAAGACCATGTCGTCTGCGCAGTCTAAGCCACATAGCTTTTCTCTAGCTGCCCACACGATGTAAACATTTTTGAAGGCCACTAAGTGCATCCTCCAGTAGTTCGTCTAAGACGAAGTGGAACAGGACTGGCGAAGTAGAGCACCCCTGACGGACGCCGATGCTGCTAACGAACAAGCTACCTAGTTCGTTATAGACCCTCACTTGACCAGAGGCATGATTATAGTAACTTCGGTGATGAATCATACTTCTGAAGCATTCCTATGTGAGGAGTCATATTCATTACGGTGTAATGATCACCTGAGTCGAAGGCTCCTTTTAGAAAGGAGGAAAGCGTGATTTTTGGTCAAAAGTGGACGTGTTACAGCTCGAGAACCAGACGAAACGTAAAGAGTTGATCAACACATTCAAGACCAGGCCGGAATCTGGCCAGCTGTTCACGGATGTTTGTCTCTCTTAAAGTAGTCGGATGTTGAAATACGACGGAGGTTAACACTCTAGTAAGAAGTGGGATCCAACTTATCCCGAAATGGTTTGCGAAATCCCTTCTTAAAAACAGGAACGATCAGTGACCCAAGATGATGGAATGCGCTCCTGCGACCAGATGATCAGTAAGTCAGTAATGTAGCTTACGAGAAGCCTGTCCTGTCCTTCTGCGTTTACTCTCTCTTTCCCTCTCTGTAGTTTGAATGCAAGACGGAACTTCTGCTTCTGCCGTAGGATCGCATAACGCTACTCACGGAGCTTCAGTTTTGATGAGGTAATCTGGCTAGCGCCAGGCAAGATGAACTGTCCGCTGAAATAACCCACCCAGCGATTAAAAGTGGAAACACCTAGTCCACTTTTATCGCAGATTCTTTCATTAACTGAGAGTTGCCGACCATCCGTGTTGCGTATCAGTTGGATCAGTATTTTACCACTCGCTGCGGAATGCATTGCTTAGTTAATCTGATCCCACTGCTCATCACCATTACGCTGAGGTGCACTTAACTCACCCGTTAGCTATGACTCGTAGCGTGCACGAACTGCTAGGACAGACGGGCGATGATCAGCTAACCCGGTTTTCTGGAGTTATTGGCGACCAGTAATTCGGAGCGTAAAGTGCACAAAAACTAAGGACGTAGTCAGACTCAGCGCAGATGGTCCAATAGGATTTGCAGTTTTGTACTGAGCAACACTGAAAGTAGCTTACTGCTACGTGACTGATCTCAGTTAGCATCCACTGAATTGGAGCACCGCATTGCCATCTACTGAGAGCTGTCGGAAGATGATACTCAACAAACACACCCCCACTCATTCGACACCAGTTTAGGCCTTGTATTGATCTATTGACTAANTGGAACTATATGTGTAAATTCCTGAAGCAATATACCGAAAAGAAATTTCCTCCCGTCTCCTTATCCTTATTCATTAATAAGAATATTTTACGACCTGAAACATATGTAGGGATGTTTGAGCACTAGCCCACGTATCACTACCCACTCCGCTCAATTTAGTGGGCAACGCGATCCTGATTATCCTGTGCGACGATCGATGAGGTATGGAAGTCTTTACAATTTGTGTATGTCTTGAAGTTTGATGGAAGGGTACTGCTAGTGTGTCCAGCTACTAGACAAGAAAATTATTAGGATTCCAACTAAAGCTTGTAGTTCTGACAAGAGACTAGCCTTAAGGCAGCGGGGGAAGAGAAGTGGCTCCCATTTACTTGGGTCGATTATTCCTCCATTATTTCTTACCGACTGAAACGTCAATTCTAGTCGAATCCCCAACCTGGAGGACGAGGACTTTGTCTGACCTCTACTCTTCGACCTTCCAAGTGTGCTTAGATCTTCCGTTTGACAAAAGACATTCTGTATGGCTCGCTGGGCCTTAGAAATGTGCAAGCCATCACACCACGTTAAGATGCAGTCACATCATTATGAGCCGAGAATCGGTCATATAGGTCGCGTTAGGCTCCCTGGATGAGAACGAATAGATCATCGTAAACGATATTTAGAGAAACTGAGTATCGTAAACAGTGGCGCTCGCGTATATTCTCAATTTCCTTGCAACATCAAACTGCCGGCATTCTCCAGCTTATGTTCAAATTTCCAAAAGCATGGTTAATGGTTGCTCAAACTGAAACTTCAGTGCTTAGAACTAACAGACTATGATGCATTTCGGGACCCAGGCCGGAAAATGAATGACACCACCTGTTCCTAGTCTCTCTGAGGAGCTTTTTATAGCTCATATCCACATCATCCGTTGACCGCACGGATTAATCTTGATTCGGGATCACCAAATGATTGTACTTCGATAACGTTTCTTGCCTAGATGGTGAGTCCATGGGTATCGAAATAAAACACAGCTGGAAGCGTGTAGGAATTCATTTATTGTATAAAAAGGCATGTTCATTCTTGGGGAAAACGGAGTACCTGGGAATGTATATACAAACCGACTGGTTGGCTGGATCGTTGTCAACCGTCTTGGTTGGTTTTCGGTTTCGACCTATTACTTGAGTTTAGCTAACTTGTTCTGATTGGTTGTCCAAGAATAAAGCAATTTGAGGGGGTAAGGTGACATCATGACACCACCCTCAGTAGGAAGTGGTAGCAAGGCAAATTGCTAACGAAGACCGTTAGGTGTGCACAATGTATGTAAACTCAGTGATCACTACGGTGTCTGTTTTCGTTTACAAAGAGCAGAAGAACCAGAATATTCTCGGAATACGTGCATCACACAGCCATCTTATTAAGGCCCTGCCAATTATATCACTTAACTAAACTGCAGACGGCCATTGTTTTACATTCAACAGTTGTAACTTAACGTTTGAAAAGAAAAAGCATCATTCGATCTAAGATACCTAATGCAGTAATAGAACTGAGGGAAAAGAGTCTCAATACGTCCGATACAGTGTACTGTATTTCTACATGAATTCTAGTGGAGGTAGGGTGCTGTACAAAAGTGACGGGGAACGACATTCAATTGGGTTTCTCTTTTTTCCCCGATGCAGCCATTTCGGCCTCGAATTCTTTAGCGATCTGATCAATTTTACCGATATCTTTGAGGGAATATTTGGCACTGCCACGGGGTAGTGGCTTGGGCTGGAAACAAGAGCACATATTCATGTAAATTACTGTTGTGAAAATCTACAGTACACAGCAAACGAAATAGTAATTATGACAACAACAGAAATAGTTGCGGATCAAGTAAATAAGAAGTAGGGACCGATCCTCGCATAAAAATGAACAGCAGGAGCGGAGGTGGGGAAAACTTTCAGTCGTTACGGATAGCGGTCATTCTCATTGGCCTTTGCAGGTTTCAGCCTTCGATCGCCACCGAAATTCGCGGGTAGTCAGTTCCACTAAGCACACTACCTATTACATCGAGGTAGTACGTGGTTTACCACGCCACGTCTCTGATTACCGATTTCCACTACGAAACAGTAAGTCGTCTTGGTTACGAGGTTCGCCCCATCTGCTTTCATGCAAATCAGACATGAGATTCCCAAGGAGGTGGCAAAATGTAGTTGTTAACAGCCTCACTGTCATCTAGTTCAGTGCGATCTAATAGGCAACTCAGTTGCCCTATCAACAAAGGGTTCCGTTTTAATAACAGAACGATCGGTTATCATGATCATTGGTTTAGCCACTCTAATATTCACGGTATCGAAGTCTATAAAAAATAAAACAATATCAACAAGTTTATAAATTCTCATCCCGATTTCTAATTGTTAAATGATCCGATATGAGAGAAAACGTTTTTGATCACTGACTCCATGGAGTGCTACCTTCGCCACTCTACTTTGGGATTTCGAACTCACATCAACAGACAAACGATTATGAGGAATTTGAGCCCTAGAAATGCTCATGAAAAACAATTCATTGGGGACTGAAGAGGGCAGCTCCAGTATGCGGAGTAACAAATTCACAAACTAACACACTCTGGAATGAAAGAATTAGTTGGATAGTCAATAGTCAACAGGAAAACAGCACAGTGCTGCATAAATTGATCCAGCAGGACAAATTAAGATCACATAAACTCAAAACGTAATCACCTGTGATGGATCGGGTTTCCAACCGATAAAATAAAGTAGGCGGTAGGTGGCAGGAATACATCGTTCACCCGGCTCACCATCCTGACGCGTAGTACCGAAACGTTCTGTTACACGTGAAATGGCATGGGTATTGGAGGGAAGGAGGAGGTTGGATTTAAAGTAGAGATCAGTATGAAGCACTTGGGTGGAAACGAGTCATAACTGTGCATTTTTCAAAACTAAAATTACTCGAAACAGTGCTCCAGTGCTAACCGACTGTTCAGTTCTTCTTAGCTTAGTGTCAAAGATTGATTGCCAAGGCGCGCAGTCTTTACCGAAGAACGCGAAGGGTGAAAAAAGTAAAGGGGGGATGAAACTAGGACATATCATGAGGGCATGAAATCCCTGACTGGGAGATTTGGTCACAAAGGGAACCTTGGGATGATTTTCATCGACGATTTGAGACACCGAGTGATATCGTTGATTGTCGTAAACAGTGGCGTTCCTGCTTCTACACAATATCCTTGCAACCTAAGTCTTTATGGGATAAGTCATCGTGGCAACGAGTTAGTTTTGGCAGGGTTAGACTGTTTTACGGCAGAATCTATTTTTCTTCAATGGTTGACCGATTTAGCTTTAGACAAGAATGAACGAACTCCACGGAAACTGACCTTGGTCGGTTGGGTAGGAGATGTGCGTCGCGACACCATGAATCCATACCCTATGTTCGGTGATCAGGCATGCGTGAGGACATGAATGATCAGATAGGCTGTTTCGACCTCAGTCTTGAAAAGTTGGTGTGTGAAACTCTACTGGCGCCATCAATGTACCAACTTTAGTGCACGCACACACATACATCTCTATATCCTTCACACAGTTAACTATCAGTGACATTCTCGTTGTTAAGATAGTTGCCCAAATAGCGCTGATCGTTAAGAACTCTCTACTGTACTCGTTGCCGGCTGCTAAGCCCAATGCCGCAGACCAATAAACTCAAACCTATTCGCTCTGCTATAAGAGCCTACTCTTCGTGCTTCAGTTGGCCAGTCCAACCGATTTGACAGTTTTCCTATACTATCAACCGGGAAACCTGTGTCTGGTGTTGGGTTATCGTACTCGGAAAGGGACAACGTCATAGTATCCCATAATCGTAAAGGTCATTTCGCTGACCAGCCTGTGAGTACTTTCACGCGCATACTCAATTCAGTTCTTACAATCATTAACCATGCACTTTCGTGCGCGGGTTTTGGTTGCCCATTTGGATACAAAGCAAAATGAAGATTAGAATGTTGACAGCAGAGTCAAGCGGAAGATAGACTGAAGTTATAAGAGTAATGAGTAGATGCGCGAGCACCACTGTTTGCGACACCCAGCCATATCGCTCAGTATCTCTAACCATCGGTGGCGATGATCTTGGGGTACCCAGCCAGGGAGCCTAACGGGACCTATGTGAGCTAGACTCCTGGTCAGGAGACGCGCATGCGCACTACCCCAACAACCGATTACAAACTAAACTGGAGCGAATTCCGGTCCCGACTCTAAGGGAACCAGTATTTTGATGAACTGTGTCAACTACGTTCACTACGGTGACTCCAGAACATCTCACTGATGTATGCGGTGCAGTCAACTCATAGAGGCACACGCGCGTTCATGGATCGGAGGGAGACCGTGCGCGTATGCACTTGTCTAACATAATTTGGTTCATGCTACGCAGAAATCAACGCTGATGATTTGAAAATTTTTAACAACTGATTGTGTCTGAATTAGTGAAAATGAGAATTCGACTTGAGCCGTTTGATACTATGACTATCTGGAGTAAGAGTACTCCTGATGCACCTGCGTACACTCTAGACATACCGTATTGCGCGGTTCAATATACAGTTGAATCAGCACCTCGAGGCCCAACCGTAGTCACATTATAAAAGGCCGTTGGTGAAATGACCGTTTTACTGATGCGGATATAATCAGTGGTTACATGTCACAAATCACGTGGTTTTTTTAGAATTCGAATTCAGAGGGGCCTCAGTGATATTGACACCCTTGTATATAGGAGCAAAACAAGCTTTTTGGTTGTTTGAACATAATGCAGTGACAGAGATGAGCTAGCAGATGGTATTAACAGAATTTCATAATGTATGAGAGAAAAAAGACTAATGGGCATCAGTTAGAAGGATATGCATGAGACGTGAGTTGCGAAAGGAGAATAACGTAGAATAGGAGTTAAGAAGATTAACGTACGACGCAACCGGAAAGGTTCAACGAAAACAAGTCGATTTGACAGCCAAGGATGAAAAGACTAACGCGGAATTACATACTTATGTTTTACATTTATTTCTTAAGTTTAATATAACCAAATGTTGATAATTTATATTATGCAAACCGTGGACCCGTTTGACTACTTAGTCCTCTCACCTTTACATTTGNTGAAAACGCCTTGTTCCGACCGAATGAAGCCGTATCTGGGGTTTCACACCCGTATCCATACTAAACAAGCTGATGTTCGAACATCCCTGAGAATCCATTGGTCGACTTGAAGGTCACCCGCTCCGTCCCAGCGTCATCTACTCCTCTTCGGTCTATCAGGCGGTGCTATGCTCGCATTCAAAATTTGACGCCGTCGCCCTGTGCATCCTGCATGCCATGTATTCACCTTTTCTCATTTACGTGTTCTCCTTACGGTTACCTCCATCAGTACTCACTGCCACAATCTAGGAAATACTGCCGCAATGCTGGAAATGATCGTGTCCCGTTATTTATGCTTAAATTCAGTAACGGCTATAAACGACTGACGGTGAGCTGCCGGAATACGGTGCCCGCGACCTAACAGTGAAGATCAATTGTGCACAGAAGTTGAGTACGCCGATACCTACTGATCGTCAATGGCGACGATTGTGTAAGATCAGATAGTCTTAGACAGTGTAGAACCCTAAGCTGTGCGAATCCTGCCCCCCTAATGCTTTGGGCTAGATCTCTCAGGTCATGCGTCAACGAGCACCAAAAAACTGAGTAAAGCAACAAGGTGATGAGCCAAGTAAGCCCGCATACCAAGCCGGAGACTGATGCGTTCAAAGTGAAAGCATTAGGCAATGGACGCACGCGGACCGGCAATCCCATAATGGCAGCTCACTGTAATGTGGTCATTTGGCGCTGCTTTACCCGCTGCACTAGAACAGCGTATCAACAATTATCGAATAGAGGATACCGTTTATCTTCGACAAGAAGAATACGGAACTCGCGCTAAACAGAAATGGACCGATTACCCCAAGGCACAAGCACCATTTTGATCTAAGACGTGTCTAATCGGCGAGTTTAGTTTAAGGAAGAGCACAACTGATTCAGTATGTCGACCGAACCTAATGGGCCGAGGGAGTCCATCGTCAAACGCGCCTCACTGCGGTACTGTTTACGAATATGTACTTGGAAGTATGGCCAGGATACAAGACATGAACTCCACACTACACACGTATACATACCCTTGAGAAAGGTACGAAACTCCGAAACATCTAATACGCCTCAAACGAAACCAGATACAACCAGGGCCACGGAATGTGTGGCAACTGGAACTCACCATCGTAAATTGCGGACGCGGCCAACAGGACATCACGATGCATGTGCAGAGGACGATTCAACGCGGCATTGGATTCTCCCATGTTACGCAAGTCGTCCATCAGACAAAACATGTTAGGATAATGAATCACAAACTCCTCCACATCCTATAGTATTGTGGAAAAAACAAAACAGCGTGCGTGTCATTTAAAAATCGGTTAATAATGAGCCCATCGTGGGTATTAGTAGCAAGAGGTCCTCACTGAGCACACATCAAATACACGTAAAATAACATGTTACCAATGGGGTTAAGACAGCGATGATGAGGTTCGAACAAAGCTTACAGCTACATGCGCTGGTGATGGATTAGAGGACCAGCCACAGAAATTCACTACTTCGGATCATGAGGAATGTAGTCGTGGTGTCCCAAGAAGGGGCGAGATTTACATGCTATGAGTAATCGATAAGCCTACTGTCCGGTTTCCTTGGTCAAAATCCATATCGATTTAGAAGTCAAGCGATTGGCATTATGTCAAAACTTACCGAATGGATTCAAATTAAGTACCTAATGTTCAGTTCAGTTCACTGTGTACAGCCACTTTCGTGTGCCGGCCTTGGTTGATCTTTTGATTATCCATTTGGATGAAGGAGTAGAAGAAAGATTGGAAATTTGAAAGTGGAGAATTCCAGAAGAGTAAGGTTGCAAAGAGATTGAGATGCACGAGCGCCACTGTTTACTCAGCCATACGACTCAGTGTCTCTAACCACTGATTACAATGATCCCGATGTCCTCACCCAGGAGGCCTAACGCGTCCTATGTGAGCAAATCTACTGCTCAGGGTTTTTATACCCTCAGGCCAGGAATAGCTTGACCACCTTTGGATTTTCTCCAACCACTATCTGCTTCGGCAAACGCCGCGCGTCACGGCAATCAATCTGGTGATATGCGTAACACAGGCCCGAACCAACGCAGTCTATGGAGGCCGATCACTTGCTCCAGAAGGCGACCGCGTTCAGTCGTAGCTGCCTAAATAACGGATCCACCGGCTCTATCACTTTCCCCAGTACAGCGAGGCTGAGTTGTATCAACCCAGTCTTGAAGCATTTTGCACTTAGAAGGTGCATAACGCATACCGAACACGGCTACACTAGCACTCAGACTATCCACTATCCTCGTACAATGGTAGAGCTGTTAAGTTAAACAGAACTGAAGGAGGGGGTAACCCTGACGCACCTGTGGCGAAGTCGGGTGAAAAAGTCCCCTAAGCTTGGACGCGGTTTCGGCTAGATAGCTAATGATCCCAATGAGGTGCCGTGGGATTGGGACGGAACAAAGTGGCACAAAGACGATCATGACACAAAGTAAATATACAGACACAACAAAAGTCCCAATATGAATATGAACGGATTTCACCCATTTCGACTCTCCTGAGAAAACCCCTTTTCCAGGTAAACTTCCATTCATGGTGTACGCTAGGGAGGTTTTATTCATTATCTTCTCGTAACGATGGTTTGCATTGAAGTGGAAGAAAGAAGTCCATCTCTAAGTAAGTGAGCGACAGGAAGCGAGCACATCTAGAAAAGTTAGAAAACAATAGTTCTAGAGCAGCGAAGAATATGAACTGTCGCCAAGAGCAACGGATAGGTGGTAAAACGACTACCCCAGTGAGTGACGAGGCGTTACGGAAACCTTTACAGTGCGAGTCTGGTTCGAAAGACGTATGATGCGATCGGTTGAATCGCAGGATGAAATAACCATCCCAGTACATTCTATTTGCTGCACTTAAAAAAATGCAGTGATGCTCCAAGAATGGATGTCGACTACCATTGATCTGAAGCTCAATGGTCGGAAGTTGATCGTAGTGGGTAGCTCCTCCCATCCGGACAGTTGCGTCCTTAATGATGACAGTAAGTGACCACATTTAAACCTAAAGCTTAAGTAACGTAAGCCGAACTGAAACACCAACAACATCGATGAGAAACTTCAAGGAATTTGAAGGTTTATGTGTCCTGCGCGATTAATTTGGTGTACACAGGATGGAGTGAGTAGGCTAACCTATTGGGATCAGCCACCAGATAATTGGGAGCGATTCAGTGAAAAACTCGTTACCACAACAATTTTCAATCAGTCTACTTCGCTTGTTCGGACAGGTAGTATGCACGCCACATGGCAGGGCCTTATGCTAACCCGTGCACTAGATCAACCAAACTTCTCTCTAAGTACAATGGT